ATTCCATTCCATTCCATTCCATTCCATTCCATTCCATTCCATTCCACTTTGTGCTATATTATGCTACTCTATTCATTTATACTTCAATGGGAAAACCGTAGTACTGTCTTTAGAAAACACTCACAGTTTGTTCCCAGCTACTCCAGCATAAATTGTTTCTATGCCAAGCTTAAGAGAAAGCACTGAGGATATGGTGCTCATTTTTCATTGTCAGATTGCCACAAAAAAATCCTCGTTTCAATGACTTTTTTTTCACAGGATGTATATGATTCTTCTCTGAAGAGCATTTTTTATGTGTCTCTAGATATTTAGCAGAAGAAACCCAAACCAGCCAATATTTTAATACTTTTCCCCTCAGTGTTATGTAACTACATGATGAAATTTAACAGACCTGCTGACTCTCTAGAGGATATGATAGTTGTTTTTGTGAGGATAACCTCCAGTGATGGAAATTATATTATCCTTAATTAGTAAAGGGGAAGACAGTAAACTTGTCTGATCTGAAGTTTCTTGCTCTGTTGCTTTATGTGGAGTTTGCACTAATCTATCTATTAGAATTTTTTGCCATCTCCATCTTTCCCTGATCAATTCAGTCTGGCTATGAAAAATGGATTTTACTCGAAAAGTGACTCATTTGTGTTCAGCTGGATGTCATAAGTTTTCATGTAAATGCCTGGACCTAGGTCTAAATGAGAATTGCTCCCCAGCCCTGAGTCCTGAGCAGCATTCCCAGTGCTGCAAAGACAGCTAGAGGGCTTGATCACTGCTTGCCCCTATGTCAGCAGAGACAAGTGGGGCTGTGGAGCTGCAGATGAGAGCTGAGAGAGGTAAAAGGACTTCCAGCTACACTCTGCCTCCAGGATTTCCAGATCCAGGAGAGGAGGGCTGAGAAGCAGCTGAAAATGAAGATGAACACAGACCTTGGTGTCTGCTCACCCTAAGAAGGTATTGAGGCCATCTGCCATTCTGCAGACAGGTCTGTGGGATGAGAACAACAGCAGGCACAGCAGTGTAGGGCCAAATCTGTGAGTACAGGTCAGGTGCTGGCCTCCTTTTCCTGTCTTCTGCCTTATAAGCTGATAATGAAAGCATGGCCTGTACTGGTCATGTGGGCAACCAGGCAGATAAACAAGCCTCCCTCAGGTTTGAAGGAACTCACTTATGGAGTGAGTTTATGACAATATCAGATGGGGCTGTGAATCAAGAAAAAATCTTCATGCAAGGGAGTGAGAATTGACATGGTCTGAGGAATACAGGTATATTACCCAAAGGGAAAAAAACCCTGCTTTTAAAGTTTATCTTGTAAATACGGAGAGTACAAAAGCACTAACTTTGTCTAGTTTTCATTTGTAGCAAAGTATGTTTTTATGCAGCAGCAGGGCCTGGGAACCCTCCAGGCAGTCATGGGCCAGCTGCACTGAAAATGCCATGATACTGCAGCTGCTCTGCGACCAAAGAGATCAAGCTAAATTGTCACTAAAGACTGTCCCTGTCATCCTTTGTTGCACACCCAGCACCCATGGGCTCTACTTATCATTGCTTTTCTTGTAAAATATGCCATAGGTGTGAGAACCTGGGTGTGATTGCCACACAACTCAATTCAATTGCACCTTTGAGTTATATATATCCTTGCAATTTTTCAGCCTTCAAACCTCATCTGGATTAGCACAAAGACCCCAGGGGTGAGAGACAAGTGATTAGTCCATTAACCTCAGCCATATCTTCCTGTATGTTCAATCTTTCTGCGGAGCAGGTGCATAATTTACTTAGAAGCACTTACTGTCATTGACAAGGCCCAGCTATCGCCTGAAATAGTTGCTTTGGCAATCAGCTCTTCTGAGCTGGAAGAGAGAGGATGTTGGGACCAGCAGGAAGAAAGCAGCTGGGGGATGTATCCTGGACGTGGGCAGTGTGCTTTCCTACTGCTCTACCAGGCCATTTGGGTGTTGACCTCAGTCCCCAGAGCCAGCTCTTCCAGCCTGCAGCCCAAATCCTCCACTGCCCCAAAAGGCACTGCAGGATGTCCTGGCTCTGTCTGCTCTTCCCAGCAGCAGCAGAAGCTTTGCTTCTTGCCAAGATACCCAAGGAGCTCTCTCACAGGCAGCTCCTGAGAGGGTCCACCAAAGACTGAGAAAATTCCTACCAGCTCCCCTCAGCTGTTCCCTGCTCCCTCAGCATGCCTGTGTGCCAAGGACAGCTGAGCTCAGCACTGACAGAGCTTTTGGGCTCATAGAAAGGAGCCACTGCCCTGGCCAGGGACCTTGTCGCAGCACTGTGTGAGATCCCGTGGAGACTCCATTGGCAGGAAAGGCTTCGTAGAAAGAGAGGGAGAAGGGAAAATAAGAGGAGGGGAAAGGTGGCCCTGATGCCACTGAACATTTCCCATTCCAGACCTGGCTCAAAATCTTCTGCTGGGGCTAATGTACATGTGGGAACCACGTTATCAAAATCTTCTTTTTTAAAATATATTTTTAAAAGGGCTGACACAGTAATACTGTAAAGAAGTCAAGCCAAGAATCTGCACAGGGAAACGGCTAATCTGGGATATTTAATTGGATATGAATACTCCCTCTGGCATACTATTGTCATGGAGTTTAATCTTGACCCCTACACAGTAATAATAATGGAAATAATAAAATGCTGAACTCAACATTTAGAAACAGCTGCCTCCAAACCTGACCCTTGACAGTGTTTTTACCCTATGGCACCACAGTTAAAGGAGTTCTTATTTTATTTCTTAAGTAAATAGCAATTATATGTAACACGTATTTTTACTTTACATTAGCTTCCTTAAAATAATGGCAAGGAGAGCAGGGAGGTGGAGAGACTTTCTATTATGGATAGAGTGGGGGTTGCAAAATGAGGAGCATTAATTGATTGAGTTAATCAGAAAGTGACCTTAACTGCTCAACAGATAAATCACCTAGTGAATGGAATAATAATGATCAGGGCAAATTAGGATCCATAGCGTTGCTTAATAAGTAGGCAATGGATCACAGTGGAAAGACCTGACCATCAAATCCACAGAAGCCGATGCAGACAGCATTGATGTGGGTGTATCTGTGTGCGTGTACACACACACACATAGCACTTGGGATGTTTTAGCTCTGACACTCCAAGTGTATAAAAGTGCTGGAAGCTGTGGGGATGGGTAGTATTTTTTGGTGGATACACTAATGCAATCAGATAAGCTTTTAGGTCCAAGGAAGGACAGTACAGCTGAAAGCTTCTGTGTTTTACAGCCCATAGTAAAGGAAAGTCTGTTTCTCTGTGGGCTTAAGCTATTTTCACAGTAGTACCTCGTAATTTTAAAAGGTTTTCAAGCCAACAGTTCTAGGATAAACAGCTGAGCTTGGTGGCAATTTCCTCCACTTATATGAGGGTTAAATTAAAATTTAGCAGATTTAATAATAAATGCAATTAAATAAGCAAGTTACTACTGTCTTCAATTTGAGAAAAAAACATATACATATATATATATATATATATATACACATACACACACACACATATATACCATATACTTGCATCACTGGGTATAAGTGTACTGGAAATATGTGAAGCACACATAGCTGGGGACAAAGCTGAAACTGAGATCCAGAGGTGTTCTATTAGCAGTTTAATGTGACTACATCCTTTCCTGTCTCTCTCACTGATATCTTTCTCTCAAGGCTGTCTGGCTTTTCTCAGAATTGCACTTAGAGCAACCTTGATATTTAAAAAATTCTACTTTTAATTGCAAAATAAATTGAAAACCTAAACTAATCTTATAGTTCCTTGAAGAATAAAAAGGAGTATTTAATTAAACCTTCTTTTACAGCTTCCTTCTATCATACCTCAGATTTCAATTTTTTAAATTAAATTGCAAAATGCATGACATTTCAGGTAGCTCTACCCTAAATGACATGCTGCTTCTAATTCACCTTGTTTAATGTGTCAGGACATAGCACTTAAATGGGGGGTTAACGTATTTTGATTGTCTTCCTCTCTTTTGAAACCAGGAAATTGATGGCAATGCTTTGTTACTGCTGAAAAGCGACATGATCATGAAATACCTGGGGCTGAAGTTGGGACCGGCACTGAAACTGTGTTACCACATTGATAAGCTCAAGCAAGCCAAGTTCTAATAATTTCTTGAACCACAGAATCTGAGATGGAAGACTAAAGGTAACATGTTGCCTTACAGAAATGCATTCATTTGCAGATTGCTTTTTCTTCTTTTTTATCAAAGACTTTGTCTTTTTTAACATTTGTGCATTGTCACCTTTTTTTAATCCAATGGGATCTTTTGGGCTGCTTTGTGTTAATAATTTGCCAAGAGGTATATAATTACAATGATTATTTTGTATCATTAATATTATTATTATTATAGTAAGTCCTATTTTTGTAACCAGAAGTGGGAAATCAAAACCAAACACAGCTACAGCATATGCCTAGGACTGCTAGAAGACAAACCAAGAGTCCCTCACTTGCCACGGGTCCGCCTGGGAGGAGTAATCGCTGTCCTGCATTGCCTGGGCACCAGCTCCACTCTCCGTGCTCAGGGGCTGGAAAAGCGCAGCCTTTGGTCACCTTTGGCTGATGGAAACTGCACCGTGTCTTGCACTATCCGAAAACTTGAATTATTCACTTAAACAAATAAACAAAAAAAAACCAAAACAAAACAAAGCAAAAAAACCCCAAACCAAAACAAAAACCCCCACACACAAACAAAAAGAACAAAGGAAAGAAAAAATAATACTAAGAAGAAATAATAATTTTAAAAAGAGGGAGGGGAAGGTTTTTTCCCCAGCTGAAGTACTTTTTCCCGCTAGAGGGAGCAGCCCTAGCAGACCCGCGGCGGGAGCTCTGGTGCTGCGGCGCTTTCAGCCTGATGAGCTTTGACCATCGCGACTCTCCGATGGAACACGTCCATAAATACGGCCAAGGAATCGCAGGCTCCCAGCAGGATGCGCCCGTCAGCGCTCACAGCCAGTGAATCCAAGAAGAGCCCGAAGGCAGCGGGTGTTTGTGCCAGGATGTTTCCCGGCGCTCCCAGCAGGGCTGGATGGCTCCCACCGTGTGTGGCGCTCACAGCTGTCACCTCCAGCCCCCGGGGCGCAGCCTGGCGCACACTGCGTGGCGCTCCAAGGAAAACCTGAATTGCTGCGGTTGCTTAAAAAAACGAGGAAGCCGGCTGGGATTGTCCCTCACAAGGACCTGGGCAGGTCTCTGCGCTTTGCACAGGCCCAGGACAAATGCGGTAGGGTCGGTTCCTGATTGCGCTGTGGCTCTCAGTACGCAGACAGATGTGTTGGACTTTCTGTCTCGAGTGAATTAAAAATTCACTTCTGCCTCTTACACAAATCGAAAATGTGCTTATTGACACTCCATGTAACTGAGGGGGACAAAACAGGAAGTAATCTGTGAAATGAGTATGTCCTTGTCTTCATCCACAAAGGACGACTATGAAGGGACACATCCATATAGTTCAAACCCCTAGTGCATGACAAGGAGAGGTAGCAAGTGTTTGTAAGTCATGCAGGTGATTTTAGAGCTAGTTATCTCAACTGGATTGAGAAACAGGGTCCTGATAATATGCAAGATTGTTTGACCCTGTTTATATAGAAAAGAATGTTACCAAAAATACCTCATGAAATAAAATTCAACTTGATGCATGTTGCTAGACTAGAACTCCTACAAAAAGACACCCATTCCTGGGCCTACTCCTGGAAATCCTTAAGAAATAGGAGAAACCATATCCTACAAGACTTTCCCTAAGCTCCTGGGGCTACTCTCCTAATTTAAAAAGCTTATCATAAATTTGCAGGATTGGATCTTTACAGGACTGATCAGCTTCCAGCAAATCCTGTCTGCATGCTGAAACACCCTAAATAGGAATAGCTGGACAACTGTATTAAACGAAAAGTCATATATGTCATTGAGTGACATAATACAGGGACCCCTAAATGTGCCAATGCTTGTAACACAACACTGACTCATATCACTTTGTGTCTGTGGTATAAAGAATGCAAATGTCTTTGGTCAGTTGTCTGGTTGAGGCAGAGGTGACTTTCAACAGCAAACCTGTGCAGTTAATTTTTCACTCTTACATTCCCAAAATGTGTAAAACTCTTGCTGTATTAGTAATACCTCCTTCAAAGAGTCCTCAAACGGACTTTTTTTCCCCCCTCATAATTACAAACGTAGTTAATCTCTCTTCCCTTTTCAAAGTGGGATTTTAATTCCTTCACTTAAATCCCCACCTTGCTGTAATAGATCAGTAATCAGAGCTGGTTAGACTTTATCAGATGGCTTCAATGCTGGAAAATCCCACTTTGTCAAAATCAAAACTCTTCATAAAAGCATGTCACTTTCTAACATTAAATTCTATTTAACTGAAACTACAGCTTTCAGTAGTGTCAAAACATCATTTTGACATTTTGGAAGTGGAACATTTTTGTTCCAAGAATATTTTTGCATTTTATTGTATTTTCCTGGAGGATCTGTAGCTTCACACTTTGTTCTGAGAGTGGGTGAAAAAAATCACGGCCCAGAACTAGACTTTCCTGACCAAGAAGCCTTCCAATTCTGTTCTATGTTTCACCCCTGTTCTGTGTCTCAATCCTTCCTTCCACTCCCTGCCCTTACTCTGGATGTTACAGCCAAGGGGGCTGATCATACCAACACAGTGTGAAGAGACTCCATGGTGGAAATGATGTTCATACACATGATTTAACATGCTGAAGTAGTTTCCATATATGTATCTGATGGACACAGATGGTGTGGTACCATCCATTTGATATCACCCTTGTAGGTAGATCAGGACCATCTAGGCCATGATATTTAATGTTCTGTTTTTCACAGGGGAGGCAGTCAGTGGAGTCCTTTTACATGTAAGTAATGCTTATGACAAAAATTCCTCATTGCACGGTATTGTTTTGTTTTATTTCACTTGAGAGGCAATTAGGAGACAAACATTATTGCGATTGCTGTAATATAGAAATTGTACCTAATTTTTATCTTTCAAGTCTGTCAGTGAAGGTAGTTAAGCAGCTCTGCTCTGCTGAGGGTGTCAGGTTGTTTCCTCAGAACAGGCACTAAAGAACCAGAGTATCCATGTCAGCTGCTTCTCCATTGGCTGCTGCTTTAAGCATCGCCTGTAGAAATTATTTCTCTTGCTGTTCCTTTCACAGCTCTCCCTTCAGACTGTAGCCAACCCAGTTGTATTTTTTAACTGTTCCCAGCAGGTGGGTGGATGTGTGATACCTTTAAAAGCAACACATGTGCCTCTTTTCTTCTTCTAAACACTTGTATTTGGATCAAAAGGCACTTTGGTTGCTCCAGGCAGTTTCAATTCCTAGTGAGTTTTACTATTTTCATTATTTAAAGCAAGCAAAATCCAAGGACTTGGGGACCATTCCTCTTTTGCCTGAGTGGTGTTGGGAGCGCAGAGCCAGTGCTCCCTGGCAGACCATCTTCTGGGATCTCACGTGGCTGACCAACTCAGCCTCAGCTGCCAGCACAGGCCAGCCTCGCTGCCTTCCCATCCACCTGCCATCACAGCCTCTTCTCTCGCACCAGCAAATGCCTCCTTCCCCAGCCAGACCAAATTGCATTTCAAGAAAAGCCTCTGGGAATGCCTCCACCTCTCTGAGCCCACTGTCTTGCTTGTCAGGCTGAGGAGTGCAGCAGCCTTTGCAGCGTCAGCAGCTTCACAGTGTGATTCATGCAGGCAGGCACCCTTGGGACCGGCACGTAAAGCATCACTCTGGGCTGTTATTGGCCTTAAACTGATGGCTGAATTGCCATAGGTTGTCAGCAGCAGAGTTACACTTCCTTTGTAGAGAACGGATGGCTGTGGGAGATTAAATGGACCATTATTAGCAAAACCAGCAATAATTAGTAAAACAACAAGAAAATGGCTGATAAAATTTTTGTGTGGAAAGAACGCTGCTGGATCAGCAGCAGGAGCACACACCATCCTTTGAAGCCTAGTCCTGACTGCAGCAACCCTGGGTGGCCACTCCTCTTGCCCTGGCACAGCCACCCTATGGTTCATTCCTGCCCATGGGATGCAGCACACCCTCATCATTGACTGCGCAGTTTGAGGGCTGTGCAATCTCAGGGAGGAATCTGTCAGCTCTTACTGCCCCAAAACCTATTCAAACCTCTCAGTTAATTAGTTAGTGCCTTCTTTATTTGCCTGCCTACTTTCTCTTTTCATTTAAGTATCTTCTGTTTGAAAGAAAGCCATCATGAGGGAGATCCCCCAGGTCCTTCAAGCAGCCTGTTAATGACCCCTCAGGTCACCCCACAGAGGAGCCTCTCCAGGGTCAGACATCTGCCTGGATACAACTGATCCTCCCTCAGCACCAGAAAGGCAATCAAGAATTAAATGCCCCCTTTTTATTAACTAACATTAAATGCTTTTCAGGCCCTTCCCCTCTCTGAGCTACAGCCTCCCTCCACAGGGCCAGTTACTCACTTCTTCCCAAAGCAGCAAGGAGGGAGAGAGAGGAGGTGCCCAAAAGGACTGCCTGCTGGCTGATCCAGCAGGGCAGCAGGTATGGAAGGACCGAAACCAGCTGCTCCCCTGGTTTGAAACTGGTTTGGCTGGAGAGAGGTGTCATGCCCAGGGATTTGGTCTGGGGGATTTTCCTGTCAAACACATGCAGGTTGCACCCCAGTGTTTCAGTCTGCACCTTCAGTTAGTTGCAGTTAGTTCAGTCTGTTGCGGTGTGGATCTTGTCTCCAAATCCACCTTCCTGAGCTTGTGTTATGGAACTGCTCTGCTGGCACAGGCTGCTTCCACATCAGCAGGCTTGGGGTTGCTAGGGAAGTAAGTCATAACAAGCATACTGAGGGTAAAAATTCAGGGAAAGAGCAGGTCAGCAAGATCCTCTCTCCCTTTCCAGGCACTTCTATGTTCAGAACTTTACTCAGCAGCTCCATAATGGGGCAGAATGTGCTGATTTTTGGCTGAGGTGGAGTTAGAATACACACCATTACACCTCGCCGCTGGCAACTGGGTCATATGGAGCCATAGGGATTTTCCTTCTCTCACTAAGAAATATGGTCCTAAATTCACACACCTTTACCACAGAAGACAAGCATGTAGCTGCACACATTGCCTCTGATGCCTTGA